GTGCCAGTCTGTACATAAAACAGAACAAAATCATTTTTGATAGTTATTTAAGGGCATCCTAAATACACTCAAGAATAGTACATTTTAATTTTCAATAATGCCAGCAGACTCAAGCATTCAGATTTTAGCATAACCAGCAGGAAAACTGTTTGATGTTTTAATTATGTCCCAGAAAATGCTGAATGTGTTATAAAAGAAATCTGAAGAGGGGAGGGGGGGAAAAAAGGTTTTTATTACTGCTCAAGAGGAAGGACGTTTTACAACATAGCATTAAAAATGTAAAATGGAATAAAAAAGAACTCGGATAGTCAAAACTTTGTCTGCAACAAAGTAGGCCAGAGAAGCACAATAATATGTCTGTTAGAAGCAGTCAGCAGTGAGAAGTGAGGGAGAGCATTTACATAGACACAGGGCTGAAGGAAAGGAAAAGCCTTAAAATAACCCCAAAGTCTTTTAAATTATGTTTAAGACTAGCCAGAACCCGGTAACCATTCCCAACAAGGTGTCTCGGAGGATTTCAGAGTTCCTGATTAATGTGGTGACCTACTGCTCTCTGATGCAATGCATTTAAAGCCCAGCTGGGTATTTGCAGTCGGGATGAGGCTGTTGGGACTTCCTGGGGCTCCATCCTGCTGGCACCGGGGTCAGGCTCCGCAGCAAGGCTCAGGAAAGGTGTCCCCGAGGGAGGGGGAAAACGAGAACCTGAATTGTTGGCAATGAATTGAACCAGATGTACAAAGCCCCAGCAATTCAAGCAGCGATAGGAAGTGGTGTGTGTGTGTGTGTGTGGGGAGGGAAATTGCCGAGGTTTAACTCTTCCTGCCCTTGGCAGGTGGAGGAGGATGAGAGGGACAACACTGCCGTGTCCTGTGTCTACAGTGCAGGGACCAGTGCAGGACAGGGCTGCCTGAGGGGTGTGTGCAGCCAAAGCCTTTCCTCTGTTCATCACACCCCTAGCACCCTTGCATACCCATATATCCACAAATTCAATCATTTCTGGCACCCAGCTTTTTTGCCTTGTGAGCTCCTTTAAGAAAGCAAAATATTCCATTGGGTTCAGATATATAATTTACATCTGTCGATACATTTTTACCCCAAGAAATGTTTACTTCAGATTTTTTTTCAAACATCAATACAGTAAATTTGTGTATGTATATTTATACTCACATGCATATACAACACATATGAAAGGCAGGTCTGTGATTGTACTGCATAGATACATCTTAGTGCCATTGATGCTTTAAAAAAAACAGCACAAAGCTTTCTGAGGCTATGGCTTGTTAAAAAAAATAACCCTTTATTGATAAAATCATAAATTATGTATCTAAACAAAGCAAACAAAAAAAAGGGCCTGTTTTATTATGTAGTTGATAATGTCAAAATGATGAAAGATTTTGGAGTCAGATGTCAATGAAACAGTGCTGTGAAACCTCCTTGAGCAGAATGGTATTTCAAAATGTCCAGTGTCATGCCTGGGTATTATGATATATGTTTCTTATTTACCTCCTCAGTTCTTAGAGCTTCTGTGCTTTTGATATCTTGACTGTTTGCTTAAACTCTGTATGCAAAAACAAAGCTCAAATGCAAAGCTGGAGTATTAAGATTAAAGAAGAACTAGGATTCCAAGATTAAAAAGGAAGATGAATGTCTCTTGTAAATGTGTATAGTTGGTCTGATTTTAGAGGCTTTTTGGCAAAGATTAAAAAAAATAAAATCAACATAGTAAAAGAAATAGTCCAAAATGCCTTAAAAAGCATGTATAGTAGAAAAGTCTTCTTCCAGCTGTAAATGAGCCCATGACAAAAGTTAGTGTTAGAGGGAGCAGCAAAGCCCCAAATGATGCAGTTTGAATGTCTTTCCCTTATTCTCTTTTCTCACCCTACTCTCTTATGCCCTTTCCATTTGATTTTAGCCTGAAGCAGCCACGGAGGGCTCGCATTCCCGGTGACAATTCAGAGAGCAGAGGCAGGAGGGAGGCTCTTGCCGAGCCCGGCAGGTGCTGCATGCCCAGGTGCGGTGTCCCCATCCATCCCGCTCACAAACTCAGAGGTGTTTCCCAGGCCACCCGGACACACAGACACCTCCGGAGAGCACCGGGGACCCGGGCTTCTCCTCCCCACCTTCCCATCCCTCCTCCATCACAAGTGGAACTTGTCACCAAGAGAGCAGCTGGCATTGTCACTCCATGCTGTAAACTTTCACCTTTTGCACAGTGCTTTTCTGTCTGTGTCAGGGCTGGGAGTCTCAGTTCAGGGAGACAAAAACTTGCTTGACAAACAAAGGTTTTTCTTTGAAAAAGAAGAGGAGAGGGGGAAAATGCTTCAGGCTTACGGGAATAGGTGAAAACGACAGAGGCTTGAGACAAAGATCAGGAGTGATCCCGAACGATTTGTTGCCGGAGGATGCTGGGAGAGGGACCAGCATCCTTCGGCAAGCGGGCGATGGAGCGCACCTGGCGGCTGCAGCCAGGGAGCCAGGAATTTCAGATTCAATTGCTTCCTACGGCCTTTTTTGTTTATTGCCATTATTTGCACTTGCTTCTGGCCTCGGCCGGGGAGGAGACGATGTTCCCCTGCCGCGGCTGCTCGGGGGGCTCCTCGCCTTCCCCGCAAATGATGCTGAACAAACCCCGGCTGCCCCGCGCGGGAACCGAGCGCAAGTCACCGGCCACTTACGGGCTGGTTCTCACTTTCTCCTTCTGTGCCTTTCACCTTTTTTGACTTGTGAACCATGAAGTGTTTTCCAGAGGACTACGTCCCTTTTGAAATGCACATTCCTAAAGTGCTGTACAGCATAAATGGACTTGTTTTTCTTAGCCACCTCTCACAGACAACTTAGAAGTAGACACAGAGCTCCCCAGAGGTCTGCAGACCCCCGGCTTGAAAACTAACACTCTAATGTTAATCCTTTCAGCTGCCCAGTCCAGGAAATGTGATTATTTTGCAACTGAAAGAACCGAGGCAAAGAAAGGTGATGCCAGAAAACAGGAATTTTGAAAGCTCTTCTCCCATCTAGGAGCATAGCCACGGTTGGAAGTGAGGGGTGGTTTTCCTACATGTCTTCCAGATGCTATTGAAATCACTCCTGAAATGTTCCCCTTTCATTAGTTGTCTAAACTCACATCCATAAGGGCTGAATCCCTCTGACTTGGGTAGAGCCCACCCCCCAAGAAAATCAGACTGGTTTGGTCCTTTCTGCAGCAGTGGCCATAGCTGGGTGGTGAAGGGAAACAGTGCTGTGTTTTGGATGAGATACTGAGTGAGACACTGAGATTTTAGAGGTAGTTGGTGTTCATAAACACTGGGAGCACGTCTCCACCTACTCCCCGGGGATTCCTCTCTCTTAAAGTGGAGCACAGTTTGAACACTTTGATTCCCACAAGTGTATTCAAATTAAATTTGGCATTCACAGATTTGTAGATTTTTGAGGCCAGGAGTGCATCCTTTTTTCACCCATTTTTCCCTGCACTCAACCCAGTAATGTGCATCTGACTAGAGCAGAGCTTTTGTTTGATTAAAGCACATCTGCCAGAAAAGTGTTCAGACCTGATTTGAAGACATTAGGAGAGAGAGAATCCACCTCTTCCCTTGGTGGTTCATTCTAGTGGCTAATCACCCTCAATGTTAAATATTTGTGCCATTCTTTCTAGATTAAAGAACATTTCAGTACGTGGCATTCCTATGAGATAATGCTTGCAATGAAGTAACCTTTTAATCTTCTTTTTGATAAATTAAACAGTGTGAGATCTTTAGGTTTTGCACTGTCAAACATTATCTACAGTCAGTAAATCATTTCTGTGGCTCTTCTCTGAGCTTCCTCCAATTTCATAAGGCTCTTTTTTAACATGACAACTGGATCCCACAGTCTAGCATATGCTTGCCTGTGGTGTATTCTATAACCTGCTTATTCTTTTCTTTATCAGGAGGGTCAGAATCATCCCACTGAAGTTCAGCCAAACTAGAAGTTATTGAAACTAAAAATCAGCAAAATTTCAGCTGATCTGCCAGGATGCCCTTGTAGTCATCAGAGACAGATGGACACTCCTGAAGGGCAGGCTTTCCCATTTAGGTAATTTTGCTTCAGGGTGTATCAGAACACCTTTTCTTAGAATTCTTCCCACCTTGCCAAGAGGCTGTGTTGCAAATGCCACCCCTGTATCATCAGCATTCTCTTTTGTCCCCCTATCAGGCTCTCTGTTCCCCCATACCTGTAATCAGCAAACACTTTGAGAGAGCAGGTCAGAAATGTGTTCAAAGAGAGCAAAATTTCCAAAAACAATTTGCAGAGATGTTCTAATGTGGACATAATTTTCACTGAGCCTGATTCATATGCATGAGGCTATTGATGTTTACTAACTGAATCCACTTAAGAAAACATCAGCTAGCTGCAGACAGACCGGTACTAGTCATTGCAAAAAATGGGAGAAATCCCATTCAGTGATGACTCTGTGTTGACAAGTGTATTTTGGAGATCTGCCAAGTAGCCAGCTCTTCACCCATTCATCCTGTGCCTTATCAGTTTTGCAAATACCAGTATTTCAATCAAAACAGTATGTGAATTAAACTTAACAGCAATTCCATAATTATCTTGCTTAAGAAATTCATTATAAAGTACCTCTAATCTTCATTTGCATTTTCCAGTCTTTTTTCTTATTCCTTTCAATTTATTTTGATTAATTGGCTCTTTTGAGCCAACTGCATATGTTCCTTGCTTGGACTCTCCTGTTTGTATCATTGGTGTAGGTGTCTAGTGACCACTGTCTTTCATGGTTGTAACTAATTAACTCCTGGCAGTCAGGAATGCTGCACTGAATCTGTACATTGCTCATAAAAGGAATTATCTTTTATAATTCTTTTTCTCTCTGTTATATTTTGTCAAGAAACCCAAGTAATGCTTTATTTAACAGCTGCATGAAACCTCTAGCATATGCCTCCCAAATTGAGGACCCCCTAACAGTGCAATTGTTCCCCTTGCTGTGCTCCAGAGAGATCCTAAGGAGAATCATGTCCTGTTTTCTGGTTTGATTCAGTGGTCTACAAAGTCTCCTACCATTACCACTTCCTGAGCTTTCTGAGTCAGGTAGGTGATTGAAGAGGCATTCGAATTCCTGGTGCTCACTCCAGGCTCTCGATAGCTAGAAAACCAGATAAAGGTGCTTTTATTGTTCATGTTTCACCTCTTTTACCCTTTCTGTTGTTCCATAACAGGACGAGATGGCTGCAGGAAGCAGCACCACAAAGTCAGCAGCATGAAGTGGATGATGATGTGGAGACATTTCCTGAAAGCCTTCTGTCCTGGAACTTCCTGAAGGATCTTGACAGTGTGATGGCGTCCCACAGCTCCTTGTGCATCTTCAGGTAAGTGCACAGTACCCACAGGCCAGCCAAATCACAGGATCAGAGGAGTCAAAGACAGGAAAAGTCTGTCAGACCACAGAGCACGTCCCTGACAGTGAGCACTGCCATTCCTGCTCCGGCACATGTCAGATCTCAAACTGAGACCACAACTGATCTCAGCTAAAGGGCCAAAGGGAGCTGGATGCACTTTTTTTCCATTTTGTTTTGTTTTGGTTTTGAAGCCTGGTATTCTCAGTGGTTCAGAAAGACTTTCTGCTGTGTTCTAGTGGGTGGAAAGCTAAGCCCAACACTTGAGTCTGGTTGCTGTGCTGCCCTGGCTGGTGGTGAGTGTGGGTCAAAGCAAGTCACTTTTCCCACCTGTCCCTGTGAGTGAGTCATGATGGACACTAATAAAGTGAGCCTTCTCTCCTCATCCAGACAAATAGGGTTTTTTCTGAGAGAGTCTCTACAGAGTGCAGGCAGAAATCAATCTCCACACAAGCTGGAGAAAAGAACCCGGTAACACCCAGGACTGTGAAACCTGTGGCACAAAAATCACAGTGATCAAAGTCAAGTACTTTAATAGCTTTAGGCAAAAATACTTCCCAAACTGTGTTGTCTCTTTTTGACATCTCCTGCTGGTGCCTGGGATACAGCAGAGGAATGGGAAGGTAGCTATGCTGATGAACACCACAATGACAAGGACAAGCCTCTGAAGGAGCAGCATTTGGGCCCTGAGCTGAACAGGAGGGTCGGAAAGAAGCAGGATTGGGAAGGCTTAGCTGGTGTGAGAAGAGTGGCTTAGAGAGTGAGCAGTGCTGTGGGTGAGAGATGGGAGCTGGGAGGAGGAGATAATTGCAGGGGAAGAAGGAGTGGGAGCCAGGGAGAGTGGCTGTGGCTATAACTGAGAAGGGCTGGTGGAGAAGGATCAGAAGGAGCAAGGCAGGTATTGTATGTGTAGTGAGGGGATGGGAGCAGAGGGGCTGGCAGGGTGAAGGTGAGGAAGGGGATGGGAAAGCTGGAGTCAGATCATTGTGAGCTCTGTAAGCTACAGCTCCTCTCTGTTTCCTTCCCACTACACCCCATCTGGGGAGAGCACAGCCCTTCACAAAGATGCTCTGGGAGTGATCTCAAAGACTCATTTGTCTGGGCTGGGGGAACACAAGGCTGTGCTGACTCCTTGTCCTCTGACATCTCCAACCTGCCGAGCTTTGGTGTCAGCAACCTGCCAGTTGTGCAGCAGAGCCGTTGTCGTGTGTTCTGTGATTCTGGCACAGCAGGAAATGTGCATTTAACTCCAGAGACAGCACAGCAGCCCAGCCTTGAAAGTCACAGCTCCCTGCCTCTCTGTGCAACTTTTTGTGACACAAGTTTAATTCAGCAGGATGTTTGCAGTAACTGATTTTTATTCTCCTTTCCTGGGGTTCATTTAGAGCCTTACCTCTGCCTGCTTATCAGACTCTTATCTCACATTGAGCTAGCAAAACTTTGGGTGAGACTGGTCCCTTGAAGAGCAGAATTCACTTCATGTGGTTACAGGGGACCCTTAGGAAATTTGGTCCATTCATCTGTGGACCACAGGGAACACTCTCTGACCACATGTATCAGTCAGGGAGCCAGACTTCTCTGTCCCAGCTGGCAGGGCTCTTGCTATGATCCATTAGGAATGCACCATTCCTCAGGGACAAAGACAGCTATGTTGCAACAAGCAGTTGTGGGAAACTATCACATCAGGGAAAAAAATAAGATTATACAAAAATCAGGGCTTAAGGGACATTACAGTTGTTATGGGTCTCTGACTTTTATGGGGGAAATTTGGAAGTGCTTCTACTCGAACCTGAAGTACATTGAGCTGAATGCCAATCACTGCAAATTATGAAGATTCAAGCAAGCTTCTTTATATTTGTGTGAGGCCTGATTGTTTCTTCCTCTTGCCCCATATTATTTGCTCTACAAATCTATTAGCATTGCTTTTTCTTGCTGCATCCAAGATACTGCAGTCTATCACTTGAGCTATTCACATTACATTTTTCCTTTCTTTGGAAGACAATCTTGTCTTCAATCAAAGACCTCTTGACAAAAGGAAATAGGAACAAGAACTTGAGATGGCATAATGCAGCAAAGTGCTTTCCATACACCTGCATAATACAATTCAGTCTGCCATTACTTTCAAAATTATGCTGAAAGATTTCTGTTGTTTACATTTGTTTGTGTGTGCCCCGACCCATTGCTCATTTAACCTTGAGGTTCCCTTCATTCCTCCTTCCCCCCACTGCTTCCCTTGTCTGTACCTCCAGCAGTTATTATTTTCTTTGTTGGTAACAGTTTCTGTAATTGTGTTGCTGCAGCCAACACACAAGCATTTCTTTAGTCCTTTTTTGTGCCAAGGAGACTGAGTGCAACAGTCAGGTGGGTGTAAGTATTTAAGATGATTTGTCAAACAGAATCTAGTGTCTCATTTTTAGAACATCTTCTTTAGGGCCAGTGATGAAGGGCTTTAGATTGGTTCAGGATTTTTTTCTGTAATGAAAGGATATATTTGAAGGGAAAAGTACTTAAAAATCAAAGGTGTGATGGGAATGACAGTGCAGAATTGGAGCTCCAGGAAGGTCTGCAGCTGATTTTGGTTGAGTCATGGTGTCCTTTGAGAGCGTGCTGGACAGATTCCCCATGGGAAGCAAGAGAGACAGGAATTATTGCCTTCCTATGAGAAGGTAGCTCTTACAGCTCCTGCAGGGCAGGTGGAAATCATGCTGTGCTATTGACACCCACCTCCTTAGGCTGTTCCTGATACAGGTCTTGCTTTGGGTTTCACTGAGGAACATGGTGAAGATGCATTTGCCATGTCCCAATCATCTCCTCTTCTTTTTCGGACTCTGCTGGGTCCTTTATTTGTTTCCCACTGTGACTGGTATAACTGTGGTCACCTATTCCTTGCTCATATTGCTTTGTGACTATTTATTTTCTATCTCATGTGTAAACTTAAAATCCTAGGGCTGATCCAAAACATCTTGGCTTTGCTGGAATCTGAGCTGTGATGAGGTAGGGTTTTGTAGGCTGGTTTCACAGATCATCTGAGAGACAAAATGTGCGGAGGAATTCTGAGGGCAACTCCAGCACCAAGCATGTCTTTCCTCACAGAAAATCCCTTAAATCCTCTAATCTTCACTTCCCAATCACATAAATGTGCATCCATAAAACTTTGTTCATGTTGGTGTATTTGAGACAGGCAGAAGCATTTTTAGCTGATCTTTTTTGCTAACAGAGTAATATTGAAGGATCACCTTTTTGATACAACACACAACACTCAAATGTGTCTCCCCAAATATTTTTTGGCCAGAATGTAGTTCCAAGCAAGCAGCTCTAAATGCTCCCTTGTTCATTGCTGCCCCTGTGCTGGCATCCTGAGACTACTGAAGCCACATATGAGTAGTCAGCAGTAACACTGGGATGGATCCCTTGTTTTAGGGTGGAAACCTCATATGATGTACAATTTTCAGTATCCCTTAGGGTGAAACCTGTTCCCACCCACACTGTTGTCAGGGTCAAGCCTGTTCAGTCACAGTTATTGGGAATGCTGTAGATGATTCATAAACCCTATCCACCCCCTAGATGACTGTCATAATCTGTGCTCCATATTTAATCTCAGATGGCATTTTGTGGCAGGAATCATTACTTCCACAGACCTAAGAGAAAGAATGAGGAGTTTGTAATTGTGTCTACTAAAAATTCCAAGTGGCTTATGATTTATGGGACAGTTTATTTATTCTGCACCACTTGTGTGTATACTTCTGCACAATAACCTGTGATTTTATAGACACCCTTTCCACCTCAGAGTTTGCCTTTTGATAGTGAAACCAACCATCAGTACAAACACACTATTTCTAATACTGCATAGTCCCCTGCAGTCTGTAATAGCTGCTACATAAGTGAATCACTAATGATGATATCCTTATTTGAAGCAAAATCTGGCTGCTGACATCTTCTCTGTGTTGCTTATCTCCGTGAGTCTGTGCTCTGTAAATTCACTGTAGCTGTATTGTTTTCTATCAGTGACAGAGCTGACTCTGCTGTAGTGATGAGGTTCAAGCAATTCAAATCTTCTGAGTTAACAACCCTGGACCTTTATCCCTCCCTTCTTTCCTCTCACTTTTTCCACTGGCAATGCCACCTATTACTTTTATGTTTCCCTGTGATCCACTGACTCCCTGACTCCACATGGGATAAAATAATGGAATGCATCCCTGCACCAACCAGCCTGACACAGGAACTTGTGGGAGGCAGGGGACTCTTGGGAGTTTATGCTTCTCAAGACAGGCTTTAACTGGGGGTGCAATTGCAGAAGCACCTATGAATATAAGACTATAGATCCTTTGAAGAGGCAATTTGTAGCATAATCAGGAAATCATAGGAATTATTTTCTTTTTCCATCCTTATTTCTCTAGCTAATTGTTTTTTTATTTTCTTTAAACTGATCTATGCATTTACAATCTCACTTCAGATTTGGGAGCCAGCACAAAAAGCTCTTACCCACCAGGTGGCATTTTCTCATGTGTCCAGCCTTAATTCTAACGTCAATGTTTTCTACATATAATTATAAAATTGAGGGCCAATAAAGTGCACCTGTAGAGCAGAAACTTGACTGTTCTCAATTCTGTTCTAATTATCAAGCCTCAGAGCAAAAACCAGGTTTCAAAGAAAACTTTCTGTACAGGCCTCAATAGAGTTAAAGGAGAAACATTTTAAGTTGATGAGCTGACACTTGTAGAAGCAAATATATTAAATAAATCATGATTCGTTTTGGGGCTAAATCTGACTTACATCAACTCTGGAAAAACTAGATCCTAATGAGTGACAGTTTGGTGTTTTCTGTCACTTCCTACAGTAATGGCCCCAAGCTGACACTGCTCTGTGGGAGTCTAATACTTCTGAACAAAAGTTTTTTTGGAGTGAGATAGACAAGGTAGAAATCCCAAGGTGACTCGAAGGAATGTCTAATGACTGGAAAGACATATTTACTGGCAGACTGTATGTAAGCTGTGACAGTTGACAGGGCTTGATTGTAATAAATATAGTTGATGAAGAGAAGGCTGACAGGTGAGGACAGAGAGAGAAAAAGAGTCAAAAGATCTGCATTGGCTGAACCCTATTAATGGTAAGTTGGTAACAAAGCCCAGAGTCATAAAAGAAAACAGGTATCGCAAACTGATGTCTAAACAGTGAAATATGTAGGACTTGCAGGTTGCTGTAACAAGCTCAGATTTGTTGACCTTTCTTCTATCTATTTTGTAAGTGCTGTTTTCAGTTGATATTTCAGCAGGAAGGCACCTGATTTTTTAAATACTGGGTATGATTAATCATGTAACAGAATAAACCCTGATCAAGGTCATAATTATTGCTTCAATCTCTAACTTTTGCTGCTTTGATCAGGGGATTTGATGTTGGAAAAAGTGCCTCCACGTGCTGTGAAGGAGTAAATCTTGCTGGAGATCTGTTCTGCTGGAAACAAAAAGGATTCTTGTGAAGGAAATTTAACAATGTAAAACCTGAAAGTGTTTCTTTTAATGCAGAGGCTCACCACACACAAACACACACACACACACACACACACACACACAAACACACACACAAACACACACACACACGCACATGGAGTGATCGACCCTGAAAATGGAAACAACCCTGGCATATTAAATCACGACACTTCATAACTGACTGGTCAGAGTTTCAACAATAGGATTTCCAATGAGCTCTGCACTTTCTTCCCCCAGGCAAATGTCACACACTGAAACTAAACAGGATCTTTTTTTTTTTCTTGTTCATCCCCACGTGCTGTTTTCTGTGCCCAAGATACAAATCTGTATTCAAAAATGCCTTAACCCTTTGGAAGGGTAACCCTCCCTCTTCGTGCCCCAGGAGAAGGGAGGTTTGTGTCAGCTGTGGGACATGGGGACATTTTGCCTGCTTTGCTACCAGGGTCAGTCTGCATGTTTGTTGCACTCCCATTTCAAAAGGGAAGAAAGGGGAAAGAAAACCAGTGGTGAGGGAATATCTGTCTGGGGGAAAGCACTCAGGAATTGCACAAACTTAATGTAAAGGTTAATAACAAGGGACATCCCTTATTGGGAATATCAAGTGAGAGTTCTTCTAAACTCTGGAAATGGGCCCATTTAACAGCAGTGTCACTCTTTGCTTGCTTTCACCACACATGGACAGAGGTGAAAATCCCCTCACCTTCTTGCTTATATGAAACACAAAAGCATTTGTGAAATATTGAGACAACTAAAATATTGAGAGAACCTTTCTTGTCGAAAATTGCTTTTATTTTAAGTGGATATCCTCCTTCACCCCCCCCAGATGCCACAGTCTCTATAAGTGGTGCTGAGACTAAATGAATTGTGGGGAGCGCCAGGGAAAATAAAAAGAGACCATAAAGTCACACTACAAAGACTCTCAGGGTAGCACAGTGCTTAATGTCAATCACAGCAATGCTCCCTCTTTGCCTGTCTCCCACACAGCACTGGATCCAGCCACTCTGCTGCTCACTGCTACCTGTTTGGAATTGCAGTATTCAGAGCCATGGCTTGTCAGCATGGGAGTTGTCAGCCTAATTGGCACATCCACACACACTTTATGCACTCCTCTGGTTGTCAGTGCACGCCTTGTAGGTGGGCATGAGAGTGTCCTGTCAGGTGGAAAGCTCTCCACACAAGCACACAGATGATTTCTGCATTGGTATTAAGATAATGCTTGTATCCAATGACCTTAAAAATAATTTCTGACCTTAATGATTCTATGATAGCCACAGATACTTTTTATCTGTCCTTTGTATGCTGGGTTATTGCATTTCAGGACATGAACCTACACCTCATCTGCTGTCCTGTGCATGTGATGTCAAAGTGAATTTATGGTCATTTACTTCAGTGGCCATCCTTTGATACTCAGGCAGAAGATGGGGCATCATTGTATTTAAATAGAACAAATACATTTAATTGTAAATCTGTGAGTACATAAACACACACAGAGTTTCTGCTCTGAAACCCAGCCTTGTGAAGCCTGAACTCCATGCCAACAAATGTCTCATGTAGTGAAGGCCTCGAGCCAGGCAGTTGGAAGCACAAGACAAAGAAAGTGATATATAAGCTATGCTGTAACCCTTGATTTGGTTTGTTTTTAATACATGTTTATGTTTTTCTGTACATACTTCACCTGTTTTGTTTTGGTTTAACCTTCTTCCAGGGACTTTACCACAGCTGTTCACTGGTGAGAACATGGAAGTTTTATTCACTCAAAAAGCAGTGTGTTGGAGCCAATCTACAGCTAGTGGCTGTAGATGCTTTGCCTTTGGTTTGACATCTCTTTTAGGCTCCCAGACACATTGAAGGTCGGTTCCTTGTCAGAAGAGGTAAGTAGAAGACAAAACAGGAATTAAAATCTACATGGAATGTGCTTTCTTTCACAGGGAAACCTGTTGAAGTCAACATGACTATAATCATTGCCTGCATCAGGAACAGTCTTTCATTTCAATACTGAGAATGTTAAGAATTGTGTTTTAAAAGTGAATATATCATTAGCAGGACACATTTTTTTAGTGTTTCAAATCAAAATACCACTGAAAGCACAAATTGAGTACAAATATCAGGGAAAATTTTCTGAGGTTTAATTCACAAGGAATGAGAATATTCTCCTTCTGGAAAGTGGGGATGCTCTGCACAGTGAATTGCTATTGCTGAGGCAGGGTTCATCTTGCATCTCTGGGGCTTTTCAGTGGAAGCCATGTAACTGTTCTACCATATATTTTGTATCTTTGAATTCAGGCTTATTTTGGATATCTTCTGAGAGCCATGTTTCCCAAGAGGGAAATCATCAGCAGTTCATTGTCTATGGTAAAATGTGTACCATAGGGAACTTAATGATGGTTCTGAAGGTTGTGTATTTCACTTGAGACAAAACTTGTCTGAGCCTGCACTGGAGAAAAGACTTTCAGAAGGGGCAGAACCTAACTGATCTTGAGATTCCTAAACTCTGAAGTAGGCCAGGTCTTGCACACTGGTAAGAATGGTTTTTATAGGTCTGTTTGTACATCTGGGATAGGGATGAAGATTATTGATAATGCTCCTATGTAACTTCTGTTCTGAATACTTCATCTGGTTCCCAGTGAGAATAAGAACCTCACTAAAAAGATTTATAGCTTTCCAAGTTTTGCACACAATTTTCCCTGCAGAAATTTTTTAGTGTGTTCAGATCCCTTCCTTCAGTTTAGATTTTTTCTAAAAATATTTTACAAGTTGGAAAAAAAACCAACCAAAAAAATCCCTTTTGTATCATAACTATAGAATTCATAATAATCCAAACTAAAGCTTCAGCTAGAATCACAGTTATGTATGGCACCAAACACAACATGAGGGATGAGTCAGTAGCACTGGCATAAGGTTTACAATTGTATTCAAGTTGTTAAGAGGAAAAACTGTTTTTGTTGCCACAGTAGGTGCAGGATAATGCCCAGGACTTCAGCTGCAAAACTCCTGTTTTGTCTTTTGCTGTTTGTTCATAAAAGCTTGCCAAGTGCCTGGACCCTCATTAAATGCCTTGCTGTTGTAATAACGGCATGAGAACACCCAGCAAGTTTTTTGTGCCAGAGGAAACTTCTGTGAGAAAAAGAAGCAAGTACATGATGCTGTGCTTTCAACAGACATCACTGAGAGCTGTGTTTGGGGACTGATGTGTCAGCTGCCTATCAATACAGCCATGGAGTTGAATACATCAGGAAAGCTTTAAGAAGAATGGGAGAAAAAGAAAAAGAATGTAAGGATAATGGGGCAAAATTATTTCCAGTGTTAAATGTGCTGAAACAAATGTAGTTTCATCAAGAAGAAATTTGCACTGCTGTGTTCCAGGCTTATTGTTTGGGTTGATTACATGGCAACATGGAATTGATTTCTTGAGCTTAGGACAGTTGGCAAACTTGACTAGACTTAAAATGAACCTCTTTGATTCTGTCTACAAAATTACAGCAGACTTGATAAAGTAAAGATGTATCCTTTGAAGTATTCCCTATCAACATAAGTGCTAAGAACACCTAAGCAAAGGAATTTTAACAGTTTTGAAAGCAGTAGCAAAAGAACATCAATGAGGATTGCAGCTAAGGGCATGCCCACAAGGCACTATACTAACTGCATCTATCCTGCAGGCAATAAGCAATTGCTAAAGATTCCAGACTTTTTAAAGTTCATAGTTCATCTCATAAAAACTTTACTTCCAACTTATGATATGTTTTTGCTGGTTCGGTTTGTCTTTCAGTAGACGACTCCAAGAGGAAGCCTTACCAAGCAGATCTGCATAAGGACATGAAGAAAACCTTCTCTTTTTTGTGTGTCCCATGATGATTGAAAGGTGGGAAATGTGATCATGTCCTGTTACACCCTGCCTTAAGAGCATGTAAGCTATAATTCTTCCAGGCATTTGAACAACAGAAAAACAACAGTCCAAATGCTGTGTGGATTCCATCCCCACAACACAAGAGAGAAGGGCTGTCCTTCACATTGCAAATTTCTCACAAGTGCTGGATTTGAGATGCCCATGTTGCTGCAAGATGTTTTTCCATGAATAGAAAGCAACATGCAGGACAACTAATGATCTAGTGGTAGTTTCAGTGAGGCCATTTATCTGCTTGGCAGTCTGATTCTGCTGGCCCATCAATGCCAATGCTCTTATAGCTGTGCTCTTACTGCTTGTGTTGGGCAACTTGCTCTGCCTTGCAAATTTGTCATTAGCAAGGATGAACACAAGGAATAAATAACAGAAGGATCTGGACAGAAACAAAATGAAAACAAGAGTTGGTTTTAGACAGCAAACAGGATCTGAGCTGCTAGCACTAGGAAATGAGTCACTGAGCAACTCGGATATTTAATTTGGGCAGTAGAGGAGATGTAATTAAAAAGCTTTTACTTTTTAATGAAGATTTCATACTGGTGATTCTTGGTAGATTTCAGAGCAACCACAGCAAATTAGTGATAGCCACAGTTATGACAATTAGGATTCTTAAAACATGATCATGTTACTATGGCTAAATGAACTACTGTATGTCAGCTGAGCTGTGGGATGTGGCACATGTATGTCCTCAGCCCAAAGAGGAGGTAGTGAGTCAGTGTAAACCTCTTCCAGTGAGTTTTAAGCAAATACCACACAGAATTGGACAAATAACGTGTACAGTCAATTGCTGGTGCTCAGCTCCTGAGCAGAGTGCACCAATGAAAAATATCTGATTTCTCTGAGAAAAAAATGGGAGAAATGTACCTTTTGTTTCAGATCACCTAGCATGTTTCCCCAAGACGTGGTTCCCAAATTCCCTTCACAGTTGTACTTCCTCAAATTTGATGAAGGCATTATTTCCACAGCGGAGCTGTAAGAAAAACAATAAAACATGATTGTGACAGAGAGCAGCTGAAATGGATTCAAGATTAGCAAGGTGTGAACAACTGTTTTTACCATAAGCCTGATCCAAAGACAGTGGACTTACGAAGATGGTTTTCTGTTGACTTCAAGAAGTTTGATGTCAAACCCAGCTTCCACAGCTTAGTGAAGAAAAGCCAGGACAACATTATTTGTTCTGATATAGGATACCATGACAGTATCTGCCTCATAAATGCCCACCATAATAATTGATAATAGAAGCACAAAGGGGGTAATAGCTTTAAACTGAAAGAGGGTAGTCTTAAATTAGATTTTAGGAAGAAATCCTTCTCTGTGAGGGTGGTGAGGGCCTGGCACAGGTTGCCCAGAGAAGCTGTGGATGTTCCATCCTGGAAGTGTTCAAGGACAGGTTGGACAGGACTTTGTGCAACCTGGTCTAGAGGAAGGTGTAAGTCTAGGAGAAGGTGTACCTGCCCACAGCAGGGGGACTGGAATTAGATTAATTTAAAAGTCCCTTCCAACCTAAATTATTCTCTGAAATTAATTTTTTTTTTTTTGACCTTCGTGCTTTTCCTGGGTAAAGCTCTACCTTGCTCAATACTGAAGTTTTACTGCTGATTAGGTATCACTTTATTCATTCACTGAAAGCTAATAAAAATTGGCTGATTAGAAAACCCCAGGCTGCACATCTTAAATAGTCATTAAACAATCATTACAGATAGAAACAGCTACAACTGGCTTGTGTTAAAATGCTGCTGATTATTATATAATCCTTTTTCAAGTCAAAATGAATGCATAATCAAAGCACAAAGCAAACAGTTTGAAAGTTCTGAGCTGGCTGTGCAAAGCTATAATGTATCAACAAACCTCTAAATTAATGCCCAATTCAGCAGATGAGTGTTGATGTACAGCAGAAGAAATAATTGAGGGAAAAGTGTGGAACCATGAGCATTGGTGAAGCAACCTTCTTCTGACATAACTTCACCTAGAGTCCTGCAGGAAACCCTTGCAGCTCTCACCCAAAGATACATGTCTGGTGTCAAGGAGTGAAGATAAGTACACAGCTCTGGTGTTTCTTTTTGTTATTACTGATACTGTTATTTACAAAGAGTCACATTAAACTGTGCAGCTGAAGACACACAAACATAGAGATAAATCCAGCACAGGACGAAAACACTGTGAATTGACCCTTACCCAGTAACATTTCTGCTTTTAACAGACTCCTTAATAAAATTTAATAAGGAAACCCTCCGATAAATAGGGATACCTTATTATACTGGTGTAAATTTGGAGCAACTTCAATGAAAACTAGTGGAGTGGTTCAGCATTTACTAACAGTGCAAATGAACACAGAATGAAAACCAGAGACTTTGGGAAGCTTTAAACCAGTAACTCAGCTTTCTCAATTGAGAAGATCGCTTCTTAAGGTTAGAGTAAAAAACTCCTGTCTTCCTCCTTCTCTGTAATAACATTTTTCTTAATAGTTCTTGCTTAATCTTTGCATATTCTGCATGAAATAAATGGTCAGGATGTTTAAATTTCCACCCTGTAGCACCTGCAAGTTACAGGCCAGACCCATTTTCTTGATTGAGGCAAGCAAGAATCATTACCACATAGGGCAGCTGATCTTCCCCCGCTTAAACACCTGCAAATGCAGGTCATCTGGGAGTTTGAACCTATTAAGGTTCTCATAATTGAGACAAGGGCAAAATAGTTTGTAAAATGGTATATGAACAGAAAGATGAGAGAGAGGGAGAGAGAAGGAGAAAGACACTCTGGTTGGATGACAGGAAATCACATAACAATATTTGCAAGTGAGCTTTGGGAGCATGGTCTTTGTAATGGGGTTAGCTAATCCAGATAGTAATAAGGATAGGAAAGTCAGCAATCATAATCATATTTAATGGATTCCAGATGGAGAAATATAATTGTTCTCATTATCATTGTGAAAACTCCAAGGAAATACAATCCCAAGATACTTTACCTTGACAGGCAACCAGGAACAATATCCACATCAAGTCATGGGTTTTGTAGGTAGAGTTGTCAGTTATTTCCTTTTTGTAGCATTCCCTTCTAAAGTAATGGTTTGATTAACCTAAGACATTCTGATGTGAGTATAAAAGCAATGTTAATGAAATGCCTGCTTAATTGACTGTGCATCTCTATACCATATGATGTGGTGGCTTACTAAATACGTTGTGGAATTAAAAAGAAAACCCGAAAGCCTTGTATATCATGAGACTTTTCCTTTGTAATGTGGTTAAAATGAAATATGGCTGTAAGCACAGGCCTTTTTGGGTGCAGCTGTTCTTTTTGTTTGGGTTGATAATTGGAACCAGTCCCATGGGCCTATTTGATGTTATCTCTTGTTTAAAACTAAACTGTCAAAGCTTATCCCCCCTGTGTACTCAACAGGGAGTAGTTCTGGGGAAACTTTCTTCTTAAGTATTTTTAACCCCTCCTCCCTGCACGCATTCTCTAAACTGAACCAGGGCAGTCATGAAATGATGTCTTCACAGGAACACTTGTACAGCAAAATATTTCTTTGTGGAAAATTGAGCCTTTTCATGTTATATGTCTTTGTAACAGAGGCCTAAAAGAAAAGATCCCACAGCAGAAGTCAGATGATCAGGATGTGATCTCTCAGCTTTAAAACAACTCGTCTCTGTACAAAGGGAGTCCTACACAGCATCCCCATGGCATGAGAGGAGCTCAGGGTGTGGGGCACAGAGGCAGATGTCTCCCACAATATGAGCCAATATTTGCTCCAGGAGCACCACAGCTGGGTCTCACAAAGTCTCCTGTGTGACTTTGACATGCCTGATCCCAAGCTAATGCATTCAGACAGCAGTTCCAGTTGGGCTGGTTGTACCTCAGGATTTTCTGTAAGGGTATGGCAATCTTTAGATGTAACCTCAGAATTATTAGATTTTCCCAAGTCCAGGAGATGCTGGACCTGGGTTTGGTTGGTTTCTTGAATGGTGGTAGGCAGCAGGGAGCATGTCTGCTGCAGTCCAGTGAGGAGGCATTTTGAGTTTGCTCCACACCTTTCCTTTTCCTTTGAAGGTATTGGAAGTTTTCGGAGTTATAGTATTAAGACAAGTCAATGGTGCAATCTCAACAGCGCTAAAAAGGAGAATATTATTTTGGCCATCAGACCATTTGGGTAATTTTCTTAGTTGGCTCAATTTCAGATATAATTTTGTCAAAATCATCAGGCCTTCTGCTAGTTATTTCTGTTTGTACAGACAATTTTGTCAGGCCATTACTCACATGATGTTATGGCACTTATAGAGTCAACTTTAATGGAGTAGAAGGAAGGAGAGATAAGAATCACTGATAGATGTCATTGTCATCTCCACTATCTTGGGCAAATGAAAAAGGTTTTCCC